AGGGGGGGGGGAGGGAAGGTAAGGGAAGGGAAGGGAAGGGAAGGGGAAAGGGAAAGGGAAAGGGAAAGGGAAAGGACGGGACGGGACGGGACGGGACGGGAAGGGAAGCCTACAAAAAATAAATGATTAATATTTGTTTTGATCTGCCCATCACTCACCTCAATGGGCCTCTTTTTCTTGCCGACATTGTTGGTCTGTAGTTTCTCTGGCATTGGTGGTGCCCTGCTCACTGGGGGTCTGCCCAAAGACAAAAAGCACAGCCACTTAATCAGTCTTAGAGCAGTAATAAGGTCAGACAGTGACCAGGTGAAAAGGACACCAGACATCTGGCATGATTCGGTTTCACTTCAGGTTTTAACTGTAACATGTAACCAAATACAAATACAAAGTTACTGAGTCAGTTCAATATGTGATAGTTTGTGGTGTACAGTAAACGTTTGGCTAAAACCTTTGTAAAATTCTGCAAATTAAGTTTATGTAAAACTTTAAACATATCAGGTAGAAAGAGATGTAAGTGATCGGTCTAGTCTTACCTTGAGCCCCTTTAAAAGCAGCATTAACAGAGAGAGAGAAAACGTTAGAAGTGTGTCAGTTGAGCAGTTCCCTCAAGTGCTCCAGAAAACAAAGAAGCACAACACGGGGACACTGAGAACAAAAAATACAATAAAAATGTATAAATGTTGTCCATGATAATGTTCACTTGACAGCACAAAATGGCCCAAAGAGCTGGTGAAGCAAGAGACCAGGGGCCTCATTTATAACCATTGCGTATGCACAAAACCTGCCCTGAGAGAGGCGTACGCCACTTCCTACGCAAAAGGTGGGATTTATAAAAACAAACTTGATGGGAAAATTTGCGCACCTGCACGTAATCTCTGACCCATGCGTACAAACTCCTTTTCCTGGAGTGAGAAAATTAATGAAGCAAACAACAATTTTAAACTCTGTTTTCATATCGATATACACATTTACATTAAATATTCCACTCTCATTAATGGAGACAAGCACTGAAATTGCATAAAATCATTACGCAGAAATTAAACCAAAATTATATGGATTTAGACATATTTGTAGTGGATGTGCTTGATCGCTTTTCCTGTGGTATGCTATGTTTTAATGACAGCGAGGAGTGCTATAGGTGCACAATAATTCCTATTTAAACTAAACTGCAGATCTCATGTTATGAGAAAATATTAGCGAGAACAATGATTAATGATGCGCACTTACTTCGATATTATGGCAGATACTGTTGGATTTGGTTTGAATATGTCTAATGATAATAGCTTACTGTACAACTGCAGCTGCACTGAGGTGTTGATGTCGTGTGAAGACAACTCCACAACATTATGAAAAATAGCCTACCACTGTATTTGAAGGATACAACTTGAAGAAAATGGTAAGATTTACATGTTTCCTTTTTAAAATACTTTGTCAGTGACGCGCCGAGTCACACAATTGTATTTCCACTGCAATAAATATAGACTTATGTTTCCACTAGAAAGAGCTAAAAGATGTTCAAAGTCCTAAATGTCCTAAAAGGAGACAGGGTGGAGATGCACTTATGTTTCCCCTGACCGGGATTTATAAGGGGATTTTTGTGCCGTTTCTGGCGTACGCATGGTATTATAAATCTGAAAACTTTTGTACGTACACAAAATCTAGCTTTTATGCATACGTACACTTTCAGGATGAAATCTATGGAGAGTTTTATAAATGAGACCCCAGTTCTGTATAAAACTAGCTCAATTAATTTTCTTTACACTTAAAGAAGTAGTTCACCCAAACTTCTTACTCACCACCATGTCATCACAAACCTATATGACTTCCTTTCTTCCTTATAACACAAAAGGTGAACTTCTGAATAATATCTTAGCCACTCTCTTCAATATAATGAAAGTGAAGAAGGACTTAGGCTGACAAGCTTCAAAATCACAAAAGCAACCATAAAAATGTCACAATGTGCTATATTCTAAGTCTTCTAAATAGTCAAGTTGCTATTCATCTAACTCTCCATGACACATTCATGTGAGTTCTTGAGAGAAGTAACCCCTTGTGAAAAAATGTGCTGTTTCTATTCTATTTTACACTTAAAATGTAGACACATTTTGTCAAATTACTTTAAAGGGGTCATGAACTGAGAAACTGAAATTCCCTTGATCTTTTCACATATAAGAGGTCATTGTACTATAAAAACACCACATAAGTTTCAGAACTCAAAACTTTGTCATTAGTCTAAAAACAGCTCATAATGAAGCCAGTCTGCCAAAACAACAGCTTTTGGTATGTTCTACTCTATGATGTAATAGTGTGGATAAGCACCGCCTCCGCAGAAGATGATCAACGCCTGCTTCAACATCTCTGCCTGTTTAGCCCCGCCCACCGATTCACACATGTAGTGTTTATGAGAGAAGCAAATGCGCAGGTCTACGCAGAAACCAAATGATAAAGATGGCTCTGAAGACAACAAGATGCTGTGCAGTACCAAGTTGTGGGGAAACAGTGTTTGCATTGCCTTCTATCTGATCCCAGTGTTAGTAAAGAGTGAATGAACTTCATTTTTAATGAAGATCCAGACCGCGTCAGTAAGAACTTGGCCCTTCGTTCACTTCATTTCACTGTGGATTCATTTTCAAACAAGGCACAATTCAATGCAGGTGAATGCTGTGATGCTGTGCCGACTATACTGGATCCTTATGAGTAACTGCTTTCATTGCGTGATCACTATTGCTTTGTCTCTTCTTGCAGATCACTTGATATGTATTGAGTTATTTACTGTATGCATTTTTTACCTAAATCATAGCAGCGTCCATCTATGAGGAATGTACGCTGCATCCTTTACGCCAGATTTAAGCGCGTCCAGCCACAGCGAGTGAAAGGAGAATGAGTTGACATTTTAGAATATTCTGGGATTTTTAATGCTTTATTGAACATCACAACTCACATAAAAATGGAATACCAAGAGTAGAATACATAGATGTTTATGTCACAGTTACTTGCATTGCCAGGTTATTGTTTTGCATGTAAACCGGTAAATCAGGTTATTTCAATAAACATTAATCGGACTGATCCTTCAACAACAGTTGAAAATGATAAATAATAACTCATTAAATTTGATTTGTTCCTCACACTTTGCAATGTAGTGCATGATTTTCTGAAGCTTCAAAACTTCAGTCTACATTTGTTGTCACTGCATGAAAAAGAGTGAACAAACCATCCATCTATCCATCTATCCAAACCACGTATCCTAAGTAATGTCACAGGGATACTGGAGCCTAAGTGGCCAACTACATTATTTAAAATTTCTCAGTGTGTTCAATGGAAGAAAGTAAGGTTTGGAACAGCATGAGGGTAAATGATGGGAGTGCAGGGAGCAAAGCATGAGCAAAGTTCCCAGCAGCCAAAGAAGCAGCATTACTCTTTAAATAATTAGCGTTGGAGAGCAGTAATAAAGTCACTTCAAAGCAATGACAAAATATCTGCCAGCAAAGCACGTTATACAATGTAGTGCCATCTACTCTAATTTAAGACTGAAATTACCTGCTTTTAAAGCATCTTGAGCTTAAAATAAGAGCAAAACTTTGCGACAGGCTGTTTTACGGTTCAGTACAGGGATAAGGTGGGTTTATGGATCTGATGGCTGTTGCCGTGCAGTATAGTAAACATCCAAAGAGCAGGAGAAATGACACTTTCATTGGTCTTCTTACCTGACTACGCCCTGCCTTCACATGGTGAGAGAGAGGAGTGGAGTGCAGAGACAGACAGAGGAGTGAGGAAAATTGGAAAAGATAGACATGAGGGTAGCATGTCACTCAGAGCCCAAGTGTTCCATGAATTATTATTATAATATTGTTCAACTCTTAATGTTTAAAATGCCCTGTTTTGGTTCAAACTGTTAATAAACCTTTTTAATACAACGTCATCTCAATTTTGATTTATCCCCGAGTTCTTAAAAACTAAAATTGCATATGCAGTAATGCAATTACAATGGAAATCTATAGGCAAGATAACTAAAGAAAGTAAATAAAAACCCATTTAATGTATAAATCTTGTGGCTATACCTCTGAAACAGAATGTGTTCTAAATACATGTGAAGAATGTATTGTAATACAACTGAGCATTATTTGAACTGTAAAACAGTCTATATCAATGGTTTTTAAACTTTTTGTACTTTTAGACCTCTCTTTGTCCAAGAAAATATCCAAACTTCTGTTGTAATTAAAAAATTAAGTTTAATGTTGTAGATCTTTATTTGTAGTGTTTCCTTTGCATTTTTAATTAAGATGATGTTAATATAACTAATTTTTATAATTAAAATTTAAAATTTTCAGACTTACTGGGGCCCCCCTGGAAGTTTACCATACTGTTCAGTGGATTAACTTTTGGTAAGTAAGGTCACAGTTTTCATGTTAGCACATTTAATATTTGAATCTTGTGGTTTTACCCATGACCGTAGCCAGGGTTTGAAAATGAGTGAGGTCCGGGGTGGGGTTAAGAATTGTGCTATAAACTATTACACTAAATACGTACAAAGGGACAGACATGTAGATGTTTGTGAAAGATGTTTTCTCTGTTTTGGAGTGATACCATATTTATTGCATCAAAATTTGTTAGTATTTTAGGTTAGGGGTGGATAATTTTATCAGTTGTTTATTAATCATGCAACAATACATATTACTTTTATAGTTTTCATAAATAATCATTGATGATAACTTTGTCTAGTGCTTTTTATTAATGTTTTTAGCATGACTTTGTGAAAATGTAACTACTATAGGCTACTGAATGAAATAGCATAGACTTGGCTATTGCAAGGCTATTCCTTTTCATTATGTAACCTACTTGTTCTACAGATCTGTGTACTGGTGTTAAATGCTACTGTTTTTGGCAGCGCTGATAATGTTTCTGACAGATAATATCATGATATTTTTTTGCGTTTGCCTTACCAAATGTGATATCCTGTCAGCAATAACCTTGGGCTTTTTTGATTACTGTCAGTTTAATCACTTTAATGTAGCTTGTGCTCACTGTTGTAAACGGAAGCAGTTTCGGGCGGATGACGTATGAGGTCAGCGCTGCGCATGGGCCAGTGAGTCTCGTGAAAACCAACTTTGTTAACAGGAGCAAAGGAAGCAAAGTTTCCTTACTTTAGCAAAGGAAAACCAGTCTCCTCTTGGCTTATATCGAAATCCTCCGACATTCTTCTTTACAAATCCTCGTTTTGTACTTCTAATTAGTGACCGTTGTTTTGTTTTGATCTCTCCCCTGCGCTTCCGCGTTCGTCACT